TGCGGCGGGTCGGGCGCCCGCGCCGCGCCGCGCCATGTCGGCCCCCGGGACCCTCAGCAACTACTACGTGGACTCCTTCCTGGTGCCGGAGGGGGACGAGCTGGCGGCCCCCCGCTACGCGCCCGCGCCGCTGGGGCCGCCGCCGCGCCCGGCGCTGGCCGAGCACCCCGAGCTGACCCCCTGCAGCTTCCAGCCCAAGGCGCCCGTCTTCGGCCCCCCCTGGAGCCCCGCGCACCCCGCCGGCGCCAGCGGCGTCCCCGCCGTGTACCACCCCTACGCGCACCACCAGGCGCCCGTGGCACCGCCCGACGGCAGGTACATGCGTTCGTGGCTCGAGCCTGTGCCGGGCTCCTTGTCCTTCCCCGGGTTACCTACCAGCAGGCATTACGGCATTAAACCTGAACCGCTGGCGGCCAGAAGGGGTGACTGTACCACGTTTGACACTCACACTTTGTCTCTGTCTGATTATGCTTGTGGTTCTCCTCCAGTTGATAGGGATAAGCAAAGCCACGAAGGCGCATTCTCTGAAAACAATGGAGAAAGTGAGGCAAACGGAGAGAAACCACACATTGATCCAAGTAAGTGGGGCTGCGGGGAGGCGCGTTTGGGGCCGGGGAGGAGGCGCGGTGCGGGGCTCCGCGCTGCCCGGGCACCGGGGGCTGAGATCCGCGCTGCCCCTCGCGGGCTCTGCCGGGATCCGGGACGGCTGCGGCTCTACGGGCCGAGGGGAGAACAAAAACCCTCTGTGCGGCTGCGACTTGAAATAAAATAAAATAAAATAATTGGAAAAAAAAAATCCCATCTCTCCCACCTTCCCCGCCCCCCCTCCCCCGGCCACCCCAGCCAACTTCGCAGGACATACTCGCATCCTCCCGTAGCACTCACGGAGCGGGTGCCCGAGAAGCATTGGATGTGAATGTGAGCTGCGGGGCCGTGGGAAGGGGGGCGGGGGGGGAGTGGGGGCAGCTCAGGGCCGGCAGCCGGAACCTCGCCGTTGCTCGGTGCCCTCCTCCCCCTCCGCCTCCCGGCGGAAATGCCCGCGCTGGGCGCCGCGGGGCCGCGGAACGGAGCTGCTCCTGTTAATAACGCCGTGCAAATAAGGGCCCTGAGCTGCAGGGGCTGTAATGACTACGGCCGTGGGCCGGCTCGTCAGCTCCCCGAGTCCTGCCAGCAATGACACGGGAGAAGGGTGAATTGTAACAGAGAACCAATTCAGACGAGCTGCCGCTCCGGCCGGGCTGGCACTCGGAGCGGCTGCGGGGAGGGCAGGAAGGAAGGAGGCAGCCAGCAGAGAGCAGGAGGACGGGTGTTTTCAAACTGCATCCTACAAACAACTAAAAAAAAAGCGAAGGGAGGCGGGGGCGGCGTGGCTCTGCTCTCAGGGGTCTCTGTGACCCCTCCCGTGAGTGGGGATGTGGGTGCTCCGTGCCCACCGCGGAGACGAGGGGCACCCCGACACCAGGACCCCCCCACACCCACAAGACACCCCCCTGAGCCTCAACTTCTCCTCTCGCTCCCCCCGCAGATAACCCTGCTGCTAACTGGCTCCACGCGAGGTCCACCCGGAAAAAGCGCTGCCCTTACACCAAGCACCAGACGCTGGAACTGGAGAAGGAGTTTCTGTTCAATATGTATCTCACCAGGGACCGCAGGTACGAGGTGGCCAGGCTCCTCAACCTCACCGAGAGACAAGTGAAAATCTGGTTTCAGAACAGGAGGATGAAAATGAAGAAAATCAACAAAGACCGAGCGAAGGATGAATGATGGAGATACGCAGGTTAAATGGAAAAAAATAATTAAAAAAAAGCATAAAGTAAAACAAAAACAACAACAAAAAAAGCAAACAACAAAAAAATAAAAACAACACCAACAAAACCCTCCCCTCGAGCCCTGCCATGCAATGCGTCTGGGTCCAGGCCTCAATTGTTTTTCCAAGGCAAATTCTGATTACGATTGTACCTTGCTTGTCACAGTAGCATGGAGAGGCCAGTTGCCAGGAGAGGTACAGTAAGACTTTTCATTTTCTAATAGGAAAGAAAAAGGGGGCATTAGCACGAAACGGCTGTTGAGCTAGCTTGTATAAATCTACCTGTTTCTTCACTTAAGAAAAAGAGGAAAAAAAAAAAAAAAAAAAGAGAAGGGAAAAGAAAAAAAAAAATAGAACGACGAGCAAAAACTACCTTTTCATAATGCACAACTATTTACGGACTGTATAGTTTAGTCAACGTAGTTAATTTTATTCGCTTTTTGCGCGGCAGAGAGATCTCTGCTCTAATACTTGAACACTGTGTTTTATTGTGGTAATTATGTTTGTGACTCAATTTATGTGCTTGGGTGCTGTACCGGATGTAATTGTGTAAGCTAGAATTCAATTTGAACTCAGGTTGTTTATTATAAAAATGGCATAGAGTATAGCTCTGTAGCGTATTAAGTCTTTTCTGTATAATTAGACAGTTAACCTTTGATTGTAAAATATATATATTATATATATATCCCAATTTAAACACACACACAAAAGTAGAAAAAAAGTTTGTCCGGGATGTCTGGGAATGGCTATTCTCAAAATACATGGAAACGAGTTGTTTTAGTATGCACAGTTGATATATATATCGTACTGTCTGTGTCAGTTGTATATATGATCTATATATGAAAAAGTGACTAAGCAGACTAGCTTAATATTGTTTTTGCACCAGTGAGCAGTTAGCAGATTTCGGAGCTATACGTATATGTGAAAGGGTAACTACCTATGGTTTACGTTTTAATTTTAATCGAATGATTTGATGGTTGTTGTAATGAAGGTTAATTTTATTGATAATAAATTATACGCTATAAAAACCTACATTTGGTTATTGTAAATTTGTATCGCTTATTAAAAAAAAAAAAATCATAGTAATAATAAATCCGGGAAGTGATGTTGATGCAGAACGTACACTGTCTATTTTGAAATAGTTACCTCATGGCCTACTGACCAAATCGTTGTGTTGAAATGATATTTAACTTTTTGCCAAATAAAATATATTGATTCTTTTCTATTCCGTGATGTTTTAAGGTTCTTAAGCAGGAGTTCCACCCAAAGTCCCCAGCGGATGTGGCGGGGCTGAAAGCCGAGCTGGGGCTTCTTGTGTGCTCTTCTGCAAACGCAGAGCCCCAGCACGGGAAAAACTGGGCTGTTTTTGGCTCTAAATGGGTCCGGAATGCCTTTGGTTCCCCGAGGGGGTGAGGCCCAGCTCCCCCCTCCCGGACACCGCTTCGGAAGCCGGCGCTTAGCGATGGAGATCGGCAGCTCCTGCAAAGAGGAGCGGGGGCTCCCACTCACGTTAAGGCGATTTTATTCCATTTCTACGGCGGGGCGGGGGTTGGTGCGGACCGACCCGAAACGTGCAGCTCTCCGCAGAGCGGGCCGTCACATAAATCGGTGCAGACGGCGACATTTAGACCTGGCCGCTTCATTGCTCCTCGATAACGCGCCCGGAGCTCGGCGTGCTGCAGCGAGCTGGGGAAGGAACCCGCGCTCCGAGCCCATTCTAAATCCCTTTCTGGAGATAATCGCCCGTGCAAAAATATGGTATTGAGAACGTCCCCCATTTCTTTCTCCCTTCGTCTCCGCTTAGGGGATTTTTTTTTTTTTTTCCTTTTTTAAATGTCCCGTGGCAAATAAAAACAACCCGCTGCATTTTACTAGCGCCGCAGATTATGTATGTATATAGAGAGACAGAGAGAGATAAAATTTTACTGACAATTATGGTAGAATTTATGGTGTCAATTTTACTCGCTGGTTCAGTCGAGGGAAAGAGCAGGGCTGGAGCAGGGGAGGCAAAATCCGATTATTCCTGTACAGCAACAACAGAAGGGAGAAAAGAGATTCTTCGGAGCGGGAGATTTCTGCGCCCCCCCCTCTCGTCCACCCCTCCCCCGCCGCCCCGAGCCAAACCGGGCTCTGCAACAAAAGAAATCGCGGAGTCTGCGAGCTCTGCGCTGCAGCCGCGTTGGGGCAGACATATTTCCGCGAGGGCGGCTCTGCGCGCCCCGACACCCCGACAGGGTGGGAGCGGAGCCCGCTCCGCTACCGCGTATCCATCGCACAGATATGTACCGAGAGCCAAATAAGACGGAGCGCACTCGTGGTCTTTGGCAGAAGTTGTTGTTAGGAAAATTCAGAGCCGTGCAGCGCAATAAAAGAAAATGACTGCTGTAACCGTTTATGGGGTGTAAAACGCTGCAGGGCGAAAGGCAGAATGTAGGGAGCCGCCACGGAGCGTACAGATGTGCAGAACTGCGGGGGCAAAACGCTGTCGGCTTCACCTTGAAAAAAAAAAATAATAATAATAAAAGAAATCCGGGGTAAGATTTGATGAGTTCTAATTAGTGAAAGGAGCTCGTTCTGGCGTGCACACACAAAAAAACCCTAATTGAGCCCCTAGCCGGTGTTTGGGATGCTGGGACGCCCTCTGTTGTTGCAGACAGAGGCAACTTCAAAGAATCAGCATTAAGAGTGTGTAATAAATGACGGGTCTGCAAACTGTCTGGAATTCGGCCCTTAATGAGTTTACAACTGTCCAGCCACAATTAAGATTTTCTACAAAAGCCTTTTCATTTGTTTTGTCTGGCTGTTTTAGATAAAGCGAGCGAGCGGAAATAACAGCCTTTATGAGCCTCCCCCCCGGCCGGGCTGGGCCAGGCGCGGACGCGGACGAGGAGCTGCGGGGCGCGGCCGGAGCGGGGCCGCCTGCGCGGTGCAGTTCCGCGGGGCGAGGCGGGCTGGCGGCGCGCCTTCTCGCCGGCAGGTGGCGCTGTGAGCCCGCGAAAGAGCAGCCACCCGCCATCAAGCGCTCGGTCGCCTCCCGCCAGCGCCTAAAATGTCGACGGTGTGGGTGCAGAACGCGGGCCGGAGCCACGGGCTGCGCGTCAACAAAGGCCGAGTTCTTTTTTTTTTTTCCCCACTATTTTTTTGCTCGCTCTCTCTCTCTCTCTCTCTCTCTCTCTCTCTCTCTCTCTTTTTTTAAAATCCATTTCTTCTTCTTCTTCTTCTTCTTTATTTTTATTTTTTTCCTTTCCTTCTCCTTATCCCCGGCTCACTGAGCCATTAGGGCACAGTGCGGGTAGCATCAATGTGTGGCCGCAGCAAAAGCTCGCTCCTCACCGAGTCCCGCGTTATTATTCTCAAAGCATCCACCATGCTCCCTGTCAGCTGACAAAGCCGCGGCACAGAGCTGCGAGCCCGTCCCCTCCTTCCCCGACCCTCGTCCCCCTCAAATCCTCCCGTTTTCCCGGTGAGGAATGACATATACAGAAAATGCGGGGACAGCAGCGCTGGGACAGAGCAGGGGGAATCGGAGTGCTCCCCGCTCCAGCCGGCCCTGCCCGGGGCATGCGGTGGGCACGGGCAGCCCTCGGAGAGCGTGGCAAAGACGGGAGAAGCAGCGCTGCGGAGCTTTAATTGGAAAATTATTTACTGGAGAAAGGAAATTTCCAACATCTGTCTCTGGTACAAATAAAACTCTGCCTGCGTCCTCGGCAATTCCCGCTCCGTGCGACCCGCTGTACTTCCATAGTACAGATGCTAACAGTCGGGTACTCCGCAAACTTGACGCGTCTCAAAGTCACTCCTAACTTCTTCTGGCCCGCTACTCTGATTTCCTCCTCTCGTTTTCGTATTTTTCTCCGTTTTGCTTTTGTTGGCTTTCGGTCTTTGGAATGAGAAGTAGTGGGGAATGGTAGCTCGTGTTCACATGTTGCCGAAAGAAAGGGGAGAAAGTAATTGGAGAGAAAACAGAAGTGGGAGGGAAGGAAGCACAAAATGTGCTCTGCTAGAAGATCGTTGTATTTTTCAACTTAGAGTCAGACAAGAGAAAGAAAGAAAAAAAAAAAGCTGAACAGCGCTGTGTAACAGAACCGCTTTCTCTGCGTTTTATTTACATTTCCTTAAATCAAAGCCAATATCTTAACATCGAAATTCAGCATCGGAAAGGAATGCGCGCTCTGTGCTATTTTTTCCCCACCCCGTTGTAAAGATTTAATTCTTTCTAGGGATGGAGAGCAGCAGCCACTCCCCGCTTTCTAATAAGAGCCTTCTTATCAAATGTTTGTCTACAAAGGCGTTGTTAAACTTGTTATGATTAATTCCTTTTTTTTTTTTTTTTCTTTTTTTTTCCGAGGGCAGTAAAACTGCACCGAAATTAAGAAGTGTTTATGCGTCGTCATGAGAAGTAATAACGTGGCACAGCGCGCTCCATTATAATCGGGGATAAATTACGGCGGGATTCTAAAACAAAAAAAAATCCTCTCTAGTGCGAAGCACATCGCGATCCCTCTCGGCACATGAGCCATAACAGGGCAGTGCTCCCAGGTCGCGCGTAACTTCTGAGCACCGTTTAATCGCTACCTTTGACTTCCCGGAAAAGCTCGGGACGCACAGTGAGGCACCCCCGGTTCTCCCACGTAAAAAATAAATGCAGTGAATGCCGCCTGGAGGATTATTTTTAAAGCGTGTGAGAAGATTGCAGTGACGGAAACCTCGCAATCTCAGCTCGCTCGCTATTTCCTCGACTGTAATATATAGACATATATATACACATTTGAATACGTTTTGCAGGCTGCTGTGTCCGAGGTTGTTTGCATGCGACAGAATGAGACATTTCGGGGCTATTTCCGAGCAGCGCCGTGCCGGCGTTGGGCGAATACGCGGGGGGTGGGCGCGCACATAAGGCGGTGGGGGCCAATTCGGATCTGCTTCGACGATTTGTTTGGCGGGAGGCATTTTGACGTTGTTTTTATTAGTATTTGTGAGTTGGCAGATAAAAAGCTGCTAGCAAAATAAAAGAAAAGGCGGTGGTCACAACACACCCCCGCAAAGCTAACGGCATCGCAGCGCATATTTTGCAGGCACGCGGAACCCGAAATACACGCGCCCAACCCCGCCGTTCGCTTCGACGTTATCAATATTAGAGTCTAGACATCGGCTATGTTTGCCATTTCTTTCTCTTCGCGTCTTGGTATGTTGTCACCAGAGGAGCAATTTATTGGTCTAATGTCATCTACTTCAGCTTCTTTGATCTTCTGAGTCGTCGTCTTGTTTGCTTCGCGTTCGTTTAACTTCTTGGGCCTTTCTTCCCCTCCGGCAGCCTCTTCTGCCGGAATGTTCCCACATCGACCGCAGCGATATTGCCAAAATCGGAATAAACTCGAGCAGAGACCTTTTCTCCAGATTCTCCCCCGCGCCTCCGAGTATCAGCCGCGTTTTCACGTGCCTGGCGCTTGGCACATCTCTAGGAGCAGCCGCCACATTTGCATGCTCTGAGGCTGCAATATCTCGGGGACCTCGCTCTAAGAATTTACTCGCTTCTGTCAGAAACCTGTATTCATGGGGCTGCAATAACCGCGCATAAAGGCTCCCCAAGGGCGAGCGTGGAGGTGTGCGGGGGGGAGAGGGTGTTCCACGTTTACAAAACGGAAAGTTTAGGGTCCGTGCGAAATATCGCCAAGAACAATTTTAAGTGGTGAGAAAGTCTTTGTACACGGGGCACCAAACTATAATTGAAAGGAGAATTTCCGGGGCAATTCCATTGTGCTCCTTCCAGTTTATGATGTGCAATACAGGCAGGCAGTAAAAGCTGTCTTTACCAGGACTCCCTGTCTGAGGGAAGGAAACTCATTTTACGATCCGTTTAAAGGAAGGGCACGGTGCAGCATCCTCAATGCAGAGCCATTCGCATTGTTGGGGAGCCGGGGTTTAGAAAACCGGCTGCGTTCCCCTCGAGCTGAGAAGAACGGGGCCGTAAGGTATGTACAACGGAAAGGTAAAAGGGGTGCTGGGAAAAAAAAAAATAAAAAACAATAATAAATAAGGCTCAGGGCAGAAGACATTTGCAGGCGGCTCCTTGAGTGCAACGTATTGTTTTCTTTTTGCTTAAGGCTCTCAGAAAGTTGAACGCTCCCTCAACCGCACGTTGTACGCTGCCTTTATTCTGGGGGCGGTGGTATTTTCCTTTCTTTCCGGGGAGGAGGGCCTGGCCGACTCGCGGAGGGCTCCGCGCACCCCTATGCTAGGTTCGGGCTCCGGGAACAGCAGTGGCGGGACGGGGTCGGTTGTGCCCCGTAGCCGAGTGCACCCCAAACCCCCTCCCCGCATACCAGTGACCCCTCTGCGTGCTTGCAGCACGGACAATAATAACAATAACGAGCGCTTTCACTTCTTTCAAGTTGTTTTGTTTTCAGCGTTCTCCCCTTTGGCCCCCCTCCCCGTCCCCCCGCCCCGTCTAACGAGGACCACATGGTGCCCGCCCCCCCCCGTTTCCCCCCTCCCTCCGCCGTCGCCGCCGAGCGGTTCCTCGGAGCGGGACCCGGGTTTCCCCCTCCCGCTCGGCGGAGGCGGCGGTGCCGTCGGGGGGCGGAGGGGCGGCGGCTGGACGGCGCGGGGCGGCGGCGGCGGCCCCGGCGGCCCCGTCCATGGCCGGGCACCGGCGGGCCGCGGCCGGCACCACCTGTGAGGCGGGCGGGGATTGGCGGGCGGCGTCATATGACCGGTCACGTGCTGGAGGCAGCTCAGTCCAAAAGAAAATGGGGTTTGGTGTAAATCTGGGGGTGTAATGTTATCATATATCACGCTACCTCGTAAAACCGACACTGAAGCCTGCCGGACAACAAATCACAGGTCAAAATTATGAGCTCTTCGTATTATGTGAATGCGCTTTTTAGCAAATATACGGCGGGGGCTTCTCTTTTCCAAAATGCTGAGCCTACTTCTTGCTCCTTTGCAAGCAACTCCCAGAGAAGCGGCTATGGACCAGGCGCGGGTGCCTTTGCCTCCTCCATGCCCGGCTTGTACAATGTGAACAGTACCATATATCAAAGCCCGTTCTCTTCCGGATACAGCCTGGGCTCTGATGCCTACAACCTGCATTGTTCCTCTTTTGATCAGAACATTCCCGTCCTCTGCAATGACCTAACCAAACCCAGCTGTGAGAAAGCGGAGGAAAGCAACCTGCACAACCAGGCTGAGGCTAATTTCCGGATATACCCCTGGATGAGGTCTTCAGGTAGGGGCGAGCGGGGCTGGAGCTGTGGCAGCCAGGCAAAGCGTGTCGCCAAAATTACTGTCAGCACAGCCTTGATGGTTTTAATTATAGCCGAGGCGCCATTGCGTAGAAAGCCCGTGGCATTGTATGTAAATGAGTATCATAAAACTTTTTATTGCCCAATTAATGGGTTCTAGCCTCGTAAATTTATTTAACTCCATTTGCTATGGAATTTTAGCATTGAGTTTATTCGCGCTTTTTGCTGCAGAAATGCGGAGAGTTGGCTGCGTGCTCGCAGAGCCCCCTCGGGTGAGCGTCCCCATTGCCCTCCGCCGAAGTCGGGCAGAAAAGCTCCGCCCGGGGGGGGAAGGGGAGCCCGGGAGCGGGGTCGGCTGTGCCGGGGCTCCGCCGGGCCGCGCCGAGCCGCGTTCCCCCCCCTGCCCCCTCCGCGGAGATAAGAATCTATAGAAACGGACTGAACAGGAAAGCGGAGGGAGGGGAGGGAGCCGGGGGGGGCTGGGGGCGAGAGTGTGTGAAAAGCGAGAGCTCGCTTCTGGGGCTGAACGCGGGGTATTGTTTACGATCCGGGCGGGGTAGGGGAGCGGGGTGTGTGTGTGTGTGTGTATGTGCAGGGAGCCCCAGACATTAAAATAAAATAAATACGGCCCGGCCTTCCAGATTTTTATTTCCCCTTGCGAAACGCAAAAGCCTGGAAGGTTTTAGGGAAATATATCGCCCGGGGGAAGGTTCCTCCTCCCAAAAGCAATTTCCTCCTCCACCTCCTCTCCTGAATGCTTTCTCTCCACTTTTTCTATGTCTCGAGCAACTTAATTTTTGCTTTGCCCGAGCAGGACAGGTCGTGTCGCTGAAATGTCTTTGTTAGGACAAAGTGTGTGTGTATGGGGGGGGAGGGTTGTGTGTGTGGGGGGGGGTGGGGGGGGGAAAGGGGGGAAGGGGATTATTCACTCTCGCTTGGGCCGGTTTTGTTTTGGTGTTTGTTGGAAAAAAAACAAAGTTGGAAAAAAAATGGGGATGAAATAAAAAAAGATAAAACTTTCCTCTTCTCTTCCTGCCTAACTGCTGGGCGTGTGTGCCTGCCTGCCTGCCTTCAGGTCCCGATAGGAAGCGAGGGCGCCAGACCTACACCCGCTACCAGACCCTGGAGCTGGAGAAGGAATTCCACTTCAATCGCTATCTGACTCGGCGGCGGCGGATAGAGATCGCCCATGCCCTCTGCCTGACGGAGCGGCAGATCAAGATCTGGTTCCAGAACCGGCGGATGAAGTGGAAGAAGGAGCACAAGGAGGAGAGCTCCAGCACTCCTGCTCCCAACGAGCCCACGTCAGCAGCAGCGTCTGTGGAGAAAGTGGAAGAAGATGAAGAAGAGGAGGATTAGGGAGTCCCATTCGAGGAAGCAATCTCTTAGAATAACGTACACACGTGACAGCTGTAAAAGCTCCCTTTAAAGAGAGAAAGAAAAAAAAAAAGAAAGAGACACTCACTGTTTTTACTAAAAAAGAAAAGAAAAAAAAAAAGTTAATCAGTTCCCTTCAGTTCTGTCTTGCAAGCGAGCGTTTGCAAACATGAAAACGTCTCTTGGGTTGGACTTCCAGCCCTCTCTCCCCTCTCCCGTCCTCCCCAAACCCGCCCCGTGGTAGCATATCCTGAGAGCATCCTACAATCATTTGAGTTTTCGTTCACCCACGCTCGGGTGGGTTTCTCCTGGGGACGTTTCGGTGGGAGGACTGCTGCTCGCACATAAAGTACACCGTGACCTTCCGAAGTAACTACCTGACTAAATAGTCCCAATCAGTCGTAAGGGGAAAAGTGCATTAGGCTCGTATTGAGGAAAACTACCTAATTTTGAATAAGTAGCTCTGCACTTTTCTTTTTTTGTATTATTATTTTTTTTCCTTTATCTTTTCTTTTAATTATTGTTAGGAAAGTACCATAACTAACAGCTACACTAACAAAAGGTAAAACAGCAAGCGAGGGGGAAAAAAAAGATGTGCCACAAACCACTACAATCCACAGCAATGAGTCGTACTACCTATTTTTCAGACTACCTATATATCTTGCTCCGCCTACCTATCTTCGAAAGTATGCTGTATTTTAGTAGTCAGAAGAAGATAACGTACTAATGTGAATTGCAAAACGCTTTTAGAAACATAAACGCAGTCGTTCGAAAAGCACGCATCGATAGCTTTGGTATAGAATTTGGTACCGTAAAGGCTGAATATATTTAAATTTAAAATAATATATTTATTCCAAAGCAATTATTAATGAAAACCATATGCTGCAATATATCTCTGTCCGCGAACCTTTACTCTCTGGAGTGAGGGAGCGAACGCACACGCCAATATTGTACAAAGCGGTTTAATATCTACCGTGGGCTTCTACCTTAGGCTGCCTCTGCTCAAGGCCGTTTCCTTATCCTGGGTTGATCTTACTCAATATAGCTGAAAGTGTTCTTGGCAAAGCGAATTTAAATGACCATGTAATCGCCTTTCAAATATCTGTTTGTCCTGATGATCCCAACGTGTTAATATGTAATACCGTGAATTTTCCTAAGATAGCAGATATTGTATATTTGAACGATTTTTTTTTTTTTTTTTTTTTTTTTGTCATTTATATTTGTCTTGGAGCTCATTTGTAAGACCATGTCATAAATTGGGAAGTATGTAATTCATTGGGAAACTTTGTCGCATGACGTATCGTTCAGATCTCTGTATAAACCCGTCTCGAAGGTTTGGCTAAAGTTTATTCAAACAATTGTATGTTACAATGTGTTTCGATGTGTTCGCTGTGAACATTTGGATATGCCGTGTAAGTATTGGAAGTGAAAAAAAAAAAATGTCTGTGAACTCTCTTTGGAAGTGATCCCGTGTTCAAGTATCCCCCACGATAAATGTGTTTTATGTCACACGGAAAATAAAGATGCTTGTTGACAATTCATTGTGCTTTTATTTTTGTTAGGGAAGCAGTTCGAAGGGAGAATAAAAAATAATTCACACGCGCAAATGAAGAATTTCGACAACGTTATTATTATTATTTTTCCCCCATGATCGAAAGGAATAAAATAATCCGAGGTGACGAATGGCCAGCGATCAGTCAATTTCTCTATCTCGACTTCGTGGTTCTTTTTTTTTTTTTTTTTTTCCTCTCTCTCTCTCTTTTAAAATTAATTTATTTATTTCTTCCAGCGCGGTTGATTAATAAAGCGGAAAGCTTCTTTATGGCCGGGCTTCCTTCCACCGTGCTTCGGGCTCCTCTAGAAAGCCCGAGCCCGGCCCAGGCGACCGTGACAGAGCCCCATTGGCACGTAGGGAAACCAGATTTAGGAAGGAGCAAAAAGTGAGGGGCGAAACTTCCCGAGGTGAACGCTCGGCTGCGGGCAGGCGCCTTTCCGGGGCCGGGGGGCACGGGAATGGGGCTAAAAAAAGGGGAAAAACAGCCCCGCTTTAGGAATGAGATCCATTCTGCTGTGTAGCACGCGACGTCGAGGCGAGAAAGTGTTTCCAATGACGAAAGAAAAAAAAAAAAGTCAGAAATCAAAAATCGGAAATTAAAAATTAAAAAATAAAGCAAAAAAATATTTTTTTTAAGAAACCCGAAAAGCGCCTTTATTCTGGCGGCCGAACACAGAGTAGAACGGGGGCATCATCTGAGCTGAAGTTCCCCTTCACCGCCGCGCTCGGTCCCCGCCGACGGACTAATTGCAATTTTAATAAAATTAGTGCGAACTCCAGGTCTGGTAAAAAAAAAAAAAAAAAAAAAAAAACTCCGGGGCTGCGTCTGTGGTAAGATGGCGCCTCTCTAAGACCTGCCTCTTCTTAGTGATGAGGAAAAGGCCATAAATCCGTTGTTGTTTATGAAAATTTACAACTTTGCAATACAACTTTATGAGTTGTTCGGTTTTTCCATTGGTCGTTGTCGGTCATGTGGATGGTAACCGTGAACATGAACTTTTTTATAATTTCCCTTGCGAGAATAGAGCCGCATTCTTTTGCTGAGCTCTGTCCTGCTTCGGATCTCTCTGGCTTTCAATCCCCATTTCATTTGCTCTTTGTAAGGCAATAGTGAACAAAGTGTGCGGAGGTTCGGCATAAGCAGCCGCCTAGAACACAGATCCGGGATGGCAATTTCCAGTTCCCCCGCTGGAAGGTGTGGCATATTGGATTCAAAGCACTGGCGTGGCAGATTTTCAACTTGCAACCTGGCTAATTTCCTGCTTCTTCTGGCACCAAAAGGAGGGCGATTCGTCTCCTGTGCAGCCAAAGCGACAGCTGTCAAAGTCGCAGGGGCTCCTGTGAGCCAGAACCTAAAAGGTGAGAAATGTATATGACACTGCCGTAAGCAGGGAAACATGCTTTAATACGGGGAGATATTAGACGTGTGCAATTAAAGCGAATGGGAATGTGAGCGGCCAGAAATAGACGCGGTCGCAGCTCGGCTCCTTTCGGTTTAACCTGTGCATGCGGAGATGCTGAATAAAACGCCGATTTGCTATTATTTATTCGGGAAGCGTGGATTTTTCACCAAGTTTATTTCTGTTGGCGTTTGCCAGGGGGTCGCTATGGCATTCCGAATATTTTCTAAGAATTCAGGTTTACAGCATCAGTCTGGGAGGATTACTGTTATTATTATTATTTTTTGCAGACACGGGGGGGGGGGGGAGGCGAGGGGGGGGGATGATTTATATATGTATATAAAAGCAATATTTTTCTTTCGCAGCATTAACTTTAAGCTCCATCGCGGCAGATGAAATTTAGATGTGATTTATCTGTAATCATTTTAAGGCTGTTTTGGAGGGGGGAAGGAGGGGGGGGTGGAATCACGGCGCGAAGCTGCTGTGTCCGGCGGAAGGTTCTGCCCTGAACGCGGCTGTGCCTTTGGTTGTGTCTCTTGGATGGTCGCCGCGGAGCCGTGGCGCAGCGCTCGGGCGGCGGCAGCGCTCAGCCCGGCTGCGCGGAGCGGTGCGGGGATCGCGGAGCCGAACTCATTCTCCCCTCGCTGTGAGCGGGGAGAGGGCGCGGGCCCCTAACCCCCAACCCCCGAGGAAAGCTCTCGGGCCCCCGCCGCCGCCCCTCGGTGACAGCCATCACGGATGAGCGGCTCGCAGCGCTGTTTGTGCCGCCGAAGCCTCGCATTTGCATTGCATTGCGGTACCCGGCGGAGTGGGGCTGCGGCGAGCGGCGGATTATTTATTGCGGGCGGCGGTGCTCAGTGCTGCCACGGCGTGGCCGAGCGGCGGAGGCGGGCACAGGGCGCGGGCCAGCGCCGGGAGACTGCGCCGCTGCTGCCGGCACCGCGCAGGGGCTTAACCCCAGCCTCCCCCCATCCAAAAAAAAATATATTAAAAAAGAGATATATTTTTAACAATGAAATCCTGCCTACCGCACCTCTACGGAGCATCGCTCCCGTGGGCCGATATTGCGCTGCCCCCTCCCTTCGCTGTGCCCTCGGTGTGTGTGTGTGCTTGTGCGTGAACCGAGGGCGGTCCTCGGTCTGTGCCCCCCGGGCTGCCCCCAAGTGTCCCTCGGGTCAGAGCGGCCGCTTGGCCGGCCCGGAACGCTTAGATTCGAGCTCTTGGTTAAAGGCTTGGGAGCGGGGGGGGGAGGGGGGGGGAAGGGAACGCTGCCGAGCAGAGAATGGTTTCTAAGAGGTTTTGTGCACGAGGAGAAGGAGGATTTTGGGGTGAGGAGGGGAAGTGCTCCCGCACCTGTACCTGTGGATGAAGAGAAGGGTACGCGGGATGCAGGGAGCTCTGCAAACAGAGCAGATACCGGGGGCTGAAGCGCGGGCTCTGTGGCAAAATGCTGCGGCTGCCTTCTGCTTCCCTGCAGGAAAACTGCAGTGAATGTGGCCGGGCAGGCAGAACTCGGGGTGCTGGTATTCGGGGTGCGCGAAGGCAGGGGAAGGAGCGCAGAGGACGTGCAGATATGAGTGCGGCACCGAGCGCAGCGCCGAGCGTTCGGCTGTCACCGAAACGGCTCAGACCGCGGCCCGGCCGCACAGAGAGCGCTGAGTGCCTTCGGATGCTATGAGGGCAACGAAGAAATGGTTTCGCTGCCCGCGGCCGGGATGTGGACGGTTCGGTTTGGATGCGAGCGATAACTCGAGGCAGAGAAGGAAAAACCAGAAGAAATAAATAAAAGAGAGAGAGAGAAATAAATCAGTGCACAAGCAATGCTGCAAAACGTAAATAAAAGAGAGCCTTGCGCGACTTTTTAAACGTTGGTCTCCGTGCGGTGGATTCACACAAAGGCCGCCCGAGCACAACTTTTTAAAGTAGGGCCGCTGCGCTCCGCTCGCCCCGAATATTGATGTTTCATGGCGCGTTTTCGTTCTGCCCCACGTTGGGAGAAATCCTCTCGTTTTAAACCTCTTTGTGCTCACCGCGCTGGGTGCTGGGCTGCTGCCGTTCCCCCTTTTTATAGCCCTATTTGCAGAGAGCACAAAACTTTCCTGGGGAAGGCAAACACGCGTTTCCCAATGAGCCCGCAGCTCAGAGCCGGCGTTCTGCCAGGTGTGGCCGCGGGTCGGCCGGCACCGGGAGTTTAAGGAAGTTGAAAAAAAAAATTGGAGGCAATCAACATCTGAATGTGAAAGTCCAGCTGAGGCCGCGAACAATACGAACTATTGTGGGGCGACGTTTTAACTCGCTGCTGTTTTATAGGTATCGTAATCAGCCCCCGGAAATGAGATAAATAGTCCTCCGACAACAACAGAACTCTCGGGTTAAAGCTGCTTTAGGAAACGGGGCTCTCACGAATACCACTTTCCGGTGAAGAGAGTTTAAAAATAGGATATTGGCTGTGTTGTAACGGGAACAAGCACTGCTCGGGGTGTGCCCTCCTCCTCAGGAACCGCGGGGTTACGGCTCCGCCGTGCGCATCGCGGCGAATTTCATCAGCACTGTTACTATCCCAGCCCTGGGCCGGGAGTGAGATTTCCGCTACGGGTAACTGCCATGTTGAAAAATGAAGGTGGAAATGTTTGTTTCGCGTTGTTGGCTTTTTTTTTTTTTTTTTTTTTTCCCCTCTCTCTTAAAGACACACATCCGTGTTTAATCAAATTATTTTAAAGCTACGACGAAAGCGATTGGCTTCTATTGACTCGTTAGCAGGCCTTTATTAATTAGGGATAATCCCGCCAGCTCGTTGTTGGTTTCGGATGTTGGGTTCCTTCGGCCTGGCAGCGGCCGGGGTGGGGAGTGAGGATGGCCGACACGTGGAGGTGTATCGGGGCTGTGCGCGGGGGATCGCCCGTCCTTTCTCAGCCCGTTCTCGGACACTGGGGTGGAACACCCCCTCCTCGCAGGCCGCATTTCCCCGCTCGGGCCCGCAGCTCGCCGGTAATTGCCGGAGCGCTCATTAACACCCGGGACCGGGCCCACGCGGGAGGCGCAGCCTCACACAAAGCTGGCGCCTGGGCGGGAAGCCCCATCGAAGGGGGGATTTCAGCACATCACCTCCAGCCCGGCGGCCTCGGCCCCAGCGCCGCGGTGGAGACGGCGGCGGGGTGCGGTCTCTCTCCCACCGGCAGAGCCCCTCCGGCGCCGCGCTGCCCCTTCCACGCTCCAAACTTTCCCTCCGCAGCATCCATCATCGCCCGCCCCCTCCCCAGGGCCGGGGCCCGGCGATCGCCCACTCCTCCTCGGCGCTGCGCGGCGACAACTTTTACGGGAGGCTCCTCTCTCCTACCACCCCCCCGCGGCCCCCCTTCCTCCCTCCGACCACCGAAGGAGGGGGCTCCGCGTCCCCCGCTGTCACCCGCGCTCCGCCGTTCTCACGGCGGGATCCTCGAGGGGCGGTCCGCCGGGCGGGGGCGCGGTCGGTCCCCGCGGGCCGTGGGCGCGGGGCGGCGCGGGGCGGCGCGGCGGGGCCGGGGCTGTCGGTAACTTCGCAGCGCGGTGGCGGCGGCCCCGGGGGAGCGGGCGCCGCTCGCGCTCCCATTGGCCGCCCCGCCGTCAGCTGCTCCTATTTTCTGCTGTCGCTTTTGGCGCTCGGCCATCCAGAAACAAACCACTTCGATGACTACTAATAGTTATAGCCAGATGTACTAATACACAACAAATCACGGTCCGGGAGAGGGGAGAGCAAATGAGTTCCTATTTCGTGAATCCCACTTTCCCCGGGAGCCTGCCCGCTGGCCAGGACTCCTTCCTCGGGCAGATCCCCTTGTACCCGGCGGGCTATGATGCTCTGAGGCATTTTCCGGCTTCGTACGGGGCGAACAGCCTGCAGGACAAGACCTACACCTCACCTTGTTTCTACCAACAGTCCAACACCGTCATTGCTTGCAATCGGGCTTCCTATGAGTACGGAGCCTCCTGTTTCTATTCAGACAAGGAAATTAGTAGCGCCTCTCCCTCCGGCAGTGGCAAGCAGAGGGGACACGGGGACTATCTGCACTTTTCTTCCGAGCAACAATACAAATCCAACGGCGTACAAAGCAAAATTGTGAATGACGAGGGCACCGACCGGAAGTACACGAGCCCTGTTTACCCCTGGATGCAGCGGATGAACTCCTGTGCCGGTAAGTGACTGAGCACAGCCGAAAGGAAGGGGAACCAAAAGTTTCTTTCCCCCGGATTTTTTTGTTTGTTTGTTTGTTTTGGTTGTTTGTTTTAGGTAAACTCGGGATGCCGGGGGGGCAATGGTTCCGCAGGCACCCGCTCGGATAGGACCTGGCATACTGGCACCCTGGGAGCAGCGGCCGGGAGCCCAGCGTGGTGAAATGGGCAAAAAAATAATGGCAATAGAAGGGACGGAGCAAAGCCCTTTCCCCACTCTTCTAAAGCCACCCCAAAGCTCAGCTCCTTCATTGTCAGAGAGCGATGCAAGGAATATGCCCTCTGCACTGAGGATCCAATGCATTTGTGGCACATTCCTCATCGCCCCCCTCCCCCAGCTCATTAGTATTGGATATTGAGAGCACGTTTCGGGGCCGCACTCCCATGGCATCGCAGATTTTCTCTGCCTTACAAAGTGAACTGCATGGGATCGAACCGTTCTGGATAGGAGTGGTGCTGGGGAAAGGAGGGGTCCTATCGGGGAGGCACCTATTTTTGATAATCCCATTATCACATTTGCTTGCATTATTTGCTAATGAGTCCCGGAGTGAGAACCCCTCCCGCGTTTATGGTCGTTGGACTATGGGTTGTATTTCTTTTTTTTTTTTTTTTTTTTTTTTTTGGTGGTGGTGGTGGTGGGGGGGGGGGGGGTGAAGGGGGAAGTTAAACTTTTAGCAGGACCATTCTGATGCTGCTTTGCATTGGAGGGCAATAAATTCCGGAGCAAATGGCAAAGGCCGTTCTATGATCTTTAGCTGATGTCTATCATTATGCTTAAATTACAGCTCCTCTGTAGCTGTGGAGCAATAGAGCGTGTTTGTGTCAGCACACACACGCACACACACGTGCACACACGCAGAGCCCTGCCCGCACACGTGTGTGTGTGTGTATGTGTGTGTGTGTGCACGCAGCTTCCCCGCACCCGAGTAGGGTGCTACCTACAGTTCTCCCCCCCTCCCGCCCCCACCTTACGGCTCCTTTGTATCACAGCCACCCCATGAGCACGTCCACACCCTCAGCCGTTCAGGCAGGAAGAAAGGGGGACAAAAAAGCCCCAGCGGCCCCCTCCTCTCCCACTCCCCCCCCATCCCCCAACCCCCCCCCGCGAAAAGCGGCACGGCTTTGTGGTCTGAAAGCACTGGGCCCTGTCCAACACGCTCGTTTTGTCTTTACTTCTGCAGGTACAGTATATGGAGCTCATGGGAGACGAGGGAGGCAGACTTACACCCGCTACCAAACGCTAGAGTTAGAGAAGGAGTTCCATTTTAACAGATACTTAACCCGAAGACGACGCATTGAGATTGCGAACGCTCTCTGCCTTACCGAGCGCCAGATTAAAATATGGTTTCAAAACAGGCGGATGAAATGGAAAAAGGAAAACAAATTCATAAATTCCACACAGCCCGGCAGCGATGAAACAGAGGAAAAGTCAGGGGAGTAGAACCGTGTTTAATAAATGCTACCAGGCCCGTCCTTAGCGCTCGCTGTTACATTGTTATTTACCTTGTGCTCCTTCTGCTACTAAAATCGCATAGGTTTGTCACAGCCTATTAATCCCCACAGGCTGATGTACATCTGCGATCAGCCGGGACTTGCTCTAAGACATGCACAAGTCTGAGCTTTCGAGCTACGGCCGTGTACATAGATAAGAACCGCTTCTGCCGCGAGTAGATGGCGTTGCTTAAAACATTCAGAGACCTGGCCCAGACTGTAAAATATTTGGGTATTTATCTGCGTGTGCGAGAGTGTCCTTGGAGTGCCTGTGTGAGAACCGACCCATGGGGGACTGTTATTATTATCGTGCGTGTGTGACTGTGAACGTTCATGCTGTAGAAATATGAGAGATGGTAGAAAATCTCGGGTTTATCTTCTTACCAGCTCCCGCTACATCGGGCCGCCTCGATACGATGTGTTCAGGATTTTATGGTCCGCAGGGGAGGGAAAAAAAAGTTTTACACGACTGTAGGATATTTAAGTAGAAAAAAAAAGCTGAAAAAAATCATTGTAAAAAAATCGTTGTATAAAAACTTGGGTATAAGCTTGCTGATAATGCGAAAATGAATTGCAGGGACACTTCTAAATGCCACTAAACTGACCCCAGTCTGCACTACTGATATCGAGTAAGAGCTCGGTGACAAACTTTAGGACGAGAGAGAGGAAAGGCTTTGAAGGGGCGAATTTCTGTGGTTCCCGTTGAGCTCGCACTGAGATTTCAGTGAGCTCAGCTATGCACTGAATTATGGACTTCATTTTTTGGGGATTCGAGGGTTCCATCTTTCTTTCTTTTTTTATTTTATTTTGTTTTCTCTTACCATCTTTTGAACTAAAAGGAAAGAGTCGATCATATTATCTCGGGGATATTTTTCCCCGCTTTGTGGTACCTTAATTTACATCCGCATTTCCTAGCACTGGGGGAAAAAAAAAAAAAAAAAAAAGGAAAAAAAAAAAAGGGGAAAAAAAAGATATTTTAAAGAGATACAGCTGCGATAGCATGGTTCCATTTCGGGTTCTGTGTAAGGAACAGAATTGCAGCGGTTGATATGTACGTTCTATCTCTATATGTTGTATTGTTTGCGTGTGAGTGTGCTGTGAGGCTGTGCACAAACCCACTTGTGTGCGCACCGAGGCTCTTTTGTTCGGGAGGCAGCGCAATTTGGGCTACCGCTCTCAACATTTCACAAGCTAGATTCCAAAATCCTACTGCAAAATGGCCACCAACGGATTTATAGTATTTTTTTTTTTTTTGCTGGGAGGCAGAAAAGTAGCACCGACACCGACCGCCTGCGATCCGCCCGCTAGCTAGGGAAGCGCCGCACAGCTCTCATCCCGCAGAGCTACCTGCCGCTGCGGAGCGGCCGGACCCGCTCGCCTCTCGAAACCTCCGCCGCGGGAAAACGGTACAAAAAAACACATATCGTAACGCGGATGGTGCGAGGGACGTGACCGCCGCCAGCGCCGGGGACGGAGCACGCGGCGATCGCGGCCCGCCTCGCACGAGCATCACCCCGCGGAGGCGGCGAGGCGCTCCCCTCGCGGCCCCTGGGCTGCCCCGCCGCCCGCCCGCGCCCCTCTGCCTCCGCTCCCGTTCCGCGTCGCCGTCGGGGGCCGTCACCCCGCGCCGACCCCGCTCCGCGCCGCCATCCCCCGCGCCGCCAGCGGGTGGCGCTCGAGGCCGGCGGACGGGCGGCGGCGGTGGCGGCGGCGCGCGGCGGCGGCGCGCCCCGGGCCGCCCGCGCCCTCCCAGCTCCCCCACCAGTGCACGAGTTTACCTCTAGAGGTCATCAGGCAGGATTTACGACTGGACAACAAAAGCACGTGATTTGAAGCCGTACCCCATATTTGGGTGCCTACGTAGGAGGGAACCAAGTACATGTCCCAGTCATTTCCATAATTCATCATAAATTGTGCAAGGGTGCTATAGACGCACAAAACGACCAAGAGCCACAAATCAAGCACACATATCAAAAAACAAATGAGCTCTTATTTTGTAAACTCATTTTGCGGTCGCTATCCAAATGGCCCGGACTACCAGTTACATAATTATGGAGATCACAGCTCGGTGAGCGAGCAATACAGGGACTCCGCCAGCATGCACTCCGGCAGGTACGGATACGGCTACAATGGCATGGACCTCAGCGTCGGGCGCTCCGCTTCCACCCACTTTGGTGCCAGCGAGAGAGCCCGCTCTTACCCGGCCAACAGCACCTCTGCCTCGACAGAGCCCAGGTACAGCCAGTCCGCGGCCGCTTCCCACTCGCCTCCCCCCGACCCCCTGCCCTGCACCGCCGTGGCCGCTTCGCCCGTCAGCGAGAGTCACCACGGGGTGAAAAACTCCCTGGGCAACTCCAGCAGCACTTCGTCCAATTCCAGCAGCAGCACGCACATCAGCAGGGACGGGGTTGGCACCTCGTCTGGCACCGAGGAAGACACTCCGGCGAGCAGCGAGCAGGCAAGTGCCCCGAGCGACCAAAGCACAGCACAGCCTTCCCAGCCCCAGATCTACCCTTGGATGCGAAAGCTGCACATAAGTCATGGTAAAGCAAATACCCTGTTCTTTCTTTATTTCTCTGGAGGAAAAGCAGGATTGAATGTAAAGCCGGTGTCCGTGCCGAGCGAGGTCGGGGAGAGGGGGAGAGGAGGGCGTGGGAGAGCGCAACCCTCGCTCCCCATACGGGAGCTCCCCCCGGAGAGCGGCAGCGCCCGGCCCCGACCCAGCGTCCGGCCGACTCTTTGGGAGCGGGGGGCTGCGGGAGCCTTTCTCGGAGCTGGACCGCTCCTGGCTTTGCCCTTCCGGGGGGACCCTCTGCCGGGAACGGCGCTGCCGACCCTATTTGTGTTCCCGAGCCGAATTGAAAAGAGAATAGCAGGGGGCGAGGAGGGCAGCTCTCGCCGCCGGGAAAGCGAGGGGAGGAGGGGGGGGGAGCACCGCCCTGACCGCGGGGAGCGGGCGGAGGGGTGCGGAGAGCCCCGGCCCCGCTACCTGCCGCGCCCGGCCCGCCGGGGAGCGCCGGGGGTTCGCCGCCTCCCGGAGCTCCGCCGTGGGAAAGGGCTGCGCGCCTCCGCCTCGCTCCGCGGCCCCGAGAGCCCGGCGTGCACCGCAGGCGTCCTCCGCAGAGCCGAGCCGGGGGAGGAGAGAGGGGGATTCGCCTGGAAAACGCGCTAAAATCCCTTTTGTAGAAAGAGCGAAACCGAAATCCGAGCGGAAACTTAGCACGGCCGCCAGGTCCCCCTCCCCCAAAGGCTTTTCTAAAGGGGCAGGAGGGGGAAACTTGTTGAGCATTTCTCCAGCCCGGCAACAAAACCGAGCCGGGCTGAGGATAACGGTCCTGGTGGCTCGGAGCTGCAGGGAGACACGAGGGCTCCACGTCGCTGCTGGGAATCTAAACGCTGTACTTTTCTCTTCCAGACAACATAGGGGGACCAGAAGGGAAAAGGGCTCGGACTGCTTACACCCGGTATCAGACCTTGGAGCTGGAAAAGGAATTTCACTTCAATAGATACCTGACCCGCAGAAGAAGGATTGAAATAGCACATGCTCTTTGCCTCTCAGAGAGACAAATAAAGATCTGGTTCCAAAACAGGAGAATGAAATGGAAAAAGGATAATAAGCTGAAAAGTATGAGCATGGCAGCTGCAGGGGGGGCATTCCGTCCCTAAGCATTTGATCAATTAAAAGTACTGAGCAGTATTAGCTGACCCTGCGTCTCATGTCAGTACTAAGTTGACTTTCTAAAACTTCCTTGTGTTACTTCTGTGAAGAAACCCTGTTCTTGTCGCCCTTATTCATCTTTTAATCATGAGCCTGTTTATTACCATTCTCTCGCGTGTATAAGTAGATCTGCTTTTATCGTACATTTCTTTGTCTTGAATGGCTTTGTCTTGAAAAAATAATAGATGTTTTAACTTATTTATATGAAGCAAGCTGTGTTACTTGAAGTAACTGTTAAAAAAAAAAAAGCAAAAGAAAAAAGAACAAAAAAAAAAAAAAAAAAAAAAAGGGAAAAAAAGAGAGAGAGAGAGAAAGAAACCCTCCCCCGGTTTAGTACAAATGTTATGTGTTGCACTCAACCTGCTTAACTGTGCATGTGTGGTCAAGTGTTAATGTCCGTATAGCTCCAAGCTGTTAAAAATATTTTTATTCAAACTACCTATATAATTTCTGTGTAATTAATGCTGTCGTAGAGGTGAAATGATGAAATCAACTGAACTTGTCCTACGTGTAGTGAATAGTGAATCTGTGACGAAAACTGTGATTCCAAGCAGTATGTCCTTGCTGTGCCTTTGTATATGACTCTTTGCACGAACTCTTAGAAGTGGCTCTTATTAAGTGCAGCTTCTGTGATGTATGTTTGGTTTTGTTTTTTTGTTTTGTTTTTTGTTTTTTTGTTTTTGGTTTTTTTTTGGTGGTCAGAGTTACAAATATAGTCAAAGTCTGGCTGTTTGAGCAAACTGTGAGCAGCTTTTTTTTTTCTTTTTTTTTCTTTTTTTTTATATTTGTTTTTTTAAAAAAGAAAAAGAAAAAGAAAAAAAAAAAAAAAAAAAAAAAACAACAACAACAAACCTGACTGGAAATCGACAAAAAAAAAAATTGATGATGATAATAATAATAATAATAATAAACTTTCTATTGTAAAGTTTTCGTGATCTGGTTTGTGCAAAGCAAAGAGCTGCGCTGCCTCTGCGCGCTCCACGGGCCCGCGCACAGCGCCTGAGCGCGTTCACCTGAGCGGCCGGGCTGCGCTGCTCCGGGAGCGCTGCTGCTGTGCTGCTGCTGCTGCAAAGTTGGAGCAGAAGTTCCTCCTTTAATGGCCGCTCGCTAAGGTGGAAAGCCGCCTCGCAAGGACCGCGATCGACAGCCTTTGTGGGCTAAGCGAGCGTTAGCCGGTCGCTGATGGCTGAACAAAACTTGTGCTTTGTTAAAACACGCTGCTAAGTCCGAGGCGTGCTCGCCCCGCTCTAGCTTTTCTCCTGTGGTCGCCTTAAGTATCTTTGTGGGGCGGCCACGTTAGAGCCCTCTGCGCCTATTAGTAACACTCGATCGCCACGTTCCCACTTTTCGCCCTTTACGGATTTTTTTTTTGCTTTCTTTGCTACTACGGTTAGTTTTCTATAAGCGCGATGTTACTTACCCCGTCAGAGCTTGAATGGTTAACTCTTCCCAGCTTCTAAGAGCAACTACAGATTTGCACATTTACTGACCGGTTACATTGATGCCTTCCCTTAAAAGTTATAAAACAGTAAACTTTATAAGCCCCAGTTCCGGCTATATGACATTTGGGTGCCAAATGAATAGGGTTTTGTCTATGAATTAGATCGTAAAATCATCCATAGCACAGACAGATAGGCTCACTGGCTATAAAAAGTCACGTGGTGCCATTAAAGTAAGTTTTATGGTTTTGGGGAGTTGACATCCAACATTATATACCACATAACATATAATCTCACTGACGCTGGACTTCATTTGACTCTTTTGCAGGCTACGTGTGCCTCCTGGCCATTCACATTGTCACTTTTAGGTACAGAAGTATCCAAACCACAAGTTCTCAATACTGTGTGAAAAAATGGCTCCCTGCAAATCGAGGTAAGTTTTGTGCACAAGTTCCTTAAAGTTTCTCTGTGCCGGGGGAGCCGAGGCTCCTGCTCGCTCTTTCTCTTCCCCTTCCCCTCTTCCTGTGCCGAGGTTCGGGGCTGTCCCCCCGCCCGGGGCAGCGCACGCAGCCCCAGGTTGAGCGCAGTGCTGCGCAGTGCCCCAGCCCCGCTCCCGCGGCTGCCAGCGCTCTATTTTAGCGATCAAATCAAAGTAAACCACAATAAGCGACTTTGGCAGAGATGGATTTTGGGGCCTAGCTTTAATCACTTGGACTACCGCAGAAGATAATTACTTCCTTCGCTCCAATAGACTCTCCAAGTTTGGAGAGGTTTTGTTTAGCAAGGAGTACTTACTGCGGGCGATTAAAAAAAAAGGAAAACAAAGTAGATAGGGTTTGATACGATCTGGGCAGTGCCTTCAGTAGGCACGATAGGGGTGGAGGCGTGATGATATGGTAATCATCTTTGCATTGGCGAAATGTGTTGCACATCAGAGCAAGTATTAAAATGGCACGGAGCGTGCTGGAGTGCTTAAGATTCCTCTTTTCTGCACTGGGTCGTGTGGGAAGCTTTAGCTATGTAGCTAAGCCCATCCGCGAGCGTGTGCTGTGCTCCGGGTGTGTGCATTTATAACTCCACTGCAACTTCTTTTTTTAGTTTTTTTTTCCCCAGCTTCTATCTGTAAATATAAGAATATAAGTGTGTTCGAGTGATGCGCGTGTATGCATGCATGTTCCGATCTGTGTGTACCCCTGTGTAAATCCGAGCACATGCCTCTGTTCTTGTGCTATTGGTGTCTTTATGTGTACAAAGGGTGTGTATGTGTGTACACATATTTACGTTCCAGAGCCTTTTTTTTTTTTTTAAGCAAACCAATTGAGTGTAACTCGTAGCATTAATACAAGAGACCACAGGTCATTAGAGTACTTCAAATTATGAAATACTGGCTTGGTTTATTGAAGATTGCTAATATCCCCAATGCTCTGCTCTCTCCCTCTGCCTTGTATTGCTGGCTGCCATTGTGGGGTAGGCCCCAGCTGCGTGTTTACTTCCACATTCTTTTTATTTAAGTGGACTGTTCTCACTAGAGTGTGATTACTCAGCAATAAACTTTATGGCCGGATTTAACTTCAGTCTTTGAATTTCCAGGACTTGAATGAAAGGGTGAAAGGAGCTCTGTCTCTCTTTGGTAGCTGCAAGGCCTGATCCTTACCCTCAGAACGAGTGATCTCAGGGGTGTGACGGACCGGTGGGGGCCGGGGTGGAGATCTGAGAACGAGCTCCTAAACGCGTCTGTACCCAACTTCGCTGTGAGAACCTCGTTCTCCGCTCGGGTTTGGAGTAGTAGGGATTCAACGCAATCCCCTCTGCAGATTGCATTGTTTTCCTTGATGTGTCATAAACTCGAGTTTCAAGAAGAACGGGGCGGCGTGATGGGAGATGGGAGTCAGGCTTTGTTTGATATTGCCCCTGCTATCCCATGGCCAGAGTGGTGCGGTGCGGTGCGGGCTCTGCGTGGCACTGCGAGCGGAAGGGGAGACGGGGCTGCGGGTGGGGCAGGTCGCTCTGGACCTCTGCAGGGTCTGCCCAAGGTCCACCACCAGCATTGCTGTGTCATTTCCCATCCATTCGCCTTAAATGTTAAAGAGACTCTCGCATCTAAGGTTGCAGCAGCTAAAAGATTTCACCGTTTTACAAATATTTAATATTTGGAGTCAACTCCCAGTGTAAGATAAATGAAGTCCCAAGCCTTTGTGTCTGCGGATCGCTCTGTGAGCACTAAACAAACACATATGCATATACTTTGTATTTAAAAATAATAATAATAATAATGGGAAAGGCTTTAAAAGCACAGACCCAAATACACATTCGAAAATCATTTCCGTCATAAACAGCTGGGGATTTTATAGCTCGCTAGCTGTCAGCTTCATCAATAGGAATACCAGAAAGTTTTATATGATAGGCGTGCACTAGATTATATTATACGCCATAAAAATTTTATAGTAGGAGGCAAAGGAATGCAAATGCTTTAAAAGTTTGTGCTCCTTTCGTATGCGGGTCATTTTCCGTAGGAGAAACCTTTTCTTGTTACAGGGAACCATTCCGGGCGCAAACCGTTCCCGATTACTCAATACACAACACCGTGTTGCTTCAAGTGCCTGGTTAACACACAAACACGTCCACGCACACACCCGCTCAACTCCTGCTTTAGGAACCTGGATGCCATCTCGGGTTGTAATGATCTGCAGCGAAAAGCTTTGCTCCTATTATTTTCACATTTCTGTATGCGGTTTCTAGAGCGCATTCTCGCAACGCTGTGGACAGGAATTCAAGAGCTATGGGAAAGGAAAAGATCACAAAAGCCCATAAGCGTCTAAACCCGCCCGCACTGCAAGAAACTCTCTAACAACGAGAGAAACTTCGCTGGAAATGACAACTTCTCAGTAGATTCGGCCCTCCCCCGTCAGAAGCAGAAGAGCTGAAGTCACTGCAAACAAGGAGCGCGTTCAGATTTTGCAACCCGCTTTTAAAATTCGGAACTCAAGAGACTCCACACAGCCGAACTGTGCAGAAATATTCCCAGATCCTAATTGTTTTCGGAGTGAAAAATATCACAGAGAATAATCGCCTGGAATCGAGAGATAGAGCTCTTATCTGAGCTCTTTTTTTTTTTTTTTTTTTTTTTTTTTTTTTTTGGCGCTATGTTTTGGGGATTAATGCGTGCGAGTTTGTTTTAGTTTAGGCACAGCAAGTGGCGTTCAGAGCATTGAAATGCAGTTTACTTAAGCCTTTGAAAGAAATACTTGAGTATAGTGTGTCATGTCTAAGCGTAGGGCCAATTAAAGATTAGGCAACCCTCTTAATGTGGGTAGCCAGTGACTTTGGAAGCCATAACTTTCTCTAAATCAGAAGTGTAACAATTCGCTTGAAAGTCATCCGTAAATTACAGCTCCGCTGCGCTTTCTAAGCCCTGCAAGCGTCCTAATTGCAGAACATTACAGGGAAATTTTGATTCTGCCATTTCCTTACAGTTAATAAGTGTGTATCTGTGGAAGGGTGACAAAAGAAGGGTTTGCAATCTGCTCCATGGGAAATTGAATGGAACAGATCGCGAGGGGCGGATCGGGAGGTTTCGATTTCAAACCCTGAATACTGGAGCAATGCCTTTTCCCTCCCCGCAAATACAGATTTAACGCATTAGCTGCACACATAAGTAAATCTCCTCACCAAGTGAAACCATCGCTTCGCTTTCTCACCTTTCCCTTCCTGCCCCCCAAATATCCCCGATTTATTGTTAGATAAGCGCAAAAGAACACAGCTCCCACTGCCGCCTGATCATCTTCGAAAATAGTACCCCTTTTAAATGAAAGCATCCTCGCTAACGTCTCTCTGGAAGGCAAATACTCATGGACCGTCGCAGTCACATGCTCGTGGGGCTGCACGCACAAACGACATCGAATCTTATACAAAGAGAGTGTAAAATTCGCGAGGATTTCGCTTTATGGCACGCGTAAGGAATCTTTCCTGCAACCCCCCCAAAAATGGCTTTTCAATAATAATATTTGCTATGAAGGTTATTGGGTAATTATTGCAATTTTGTGGAACAGTCCTTGCTTGAGGTGAAGTCTGTCTGCGGATAACAAATGGCAGCCCGTGCAGTTCACTGCCAGGTTAAGTAAATGCAGAAAAGATAAATCTGCACACCCTAGGAATCACCAGCAGAGCTCGCTTTAGACCAAGTTCACAGTCAACTCGTTTGCCTAGACAAGGCTTCGCAAACAATTAGAGTTGTTTCTTTATGCTTAAATCAAGGAGAAATGACTAAGACCCTCGCAGCAGAGAGCTGCAGCTTTTCCCCCAGCGCCGGTCCTTACGTCCTTCCAACCTCACGCCCAGAACTTACCCAGCATTTCACCTGCAATTGTAACCAAATAGCGCCTTAGAGTACAGGCTTCCCTCCAACGCTGCCG